GATGGATTGCTCTTGGGCCTTGTAAGACTCATGAGGAATTCAAGAGGATGGTTTGAGGCTTGATGTCAATTGTGAGAGGCCGGAACCTCGAGATATGACTTACACCAATTCTTTGATTTCTAGAGAGCTTTTTGAAGAGCTTTTAGAGAACTTTTTGAAGAGCTTTTTGAGAGCTTTTTAGAGAGGATTTTCGTTCCTTTCAAGCTTGTATGGATCTATATTTATAGAGGAGAATGAGGATACAAGAAAGCATGGAAAGAATCTCCCTCATAATATTGTGTTTTAAGACCATGATCGAGATTTGAAAAAAATGCCATATTTGATGATTCTCCATTATTAAACCTTCCAAATTTGATTTGATTCAATCTTTTTGCACATGATTAGGCTTGATACGAATTTGATGGTGGTGCTAGCTGTAAACAAAGCCTAAAATAATAAAAAAATCAAGAGTTATTAATTATTTGGATTTTCTTTGATTTTATTTGATTTAAAATGAAATAATTCAATAAAAAATCAAATAAAATAATAAAATTGATAAATGGACACAAGGCTGAAGCTAAGACACATGTGCAATGTGGAAAGTCCAAATCAAGTGGAAAAGAATGGACCCATTTGACAAAATTTGAAGTTTTGGGGATAGTTGACTTTTGGTAATTTTACAAAAATGCCCAACTTCAACAATGCATAACTTCTTCAATTTTGAACTTTTGGAGATGTTCTTGGACTTTTTAGAAAGCTTGAGATGTCCTCTAACCAACCGTTTTTTTCTCATATCATTTTTATATTCCATGCTCAAGTTATAAGCTTTGGAAAAAAGTGTTTTTGTTGACTTTCAAAAATAACCTATAATGTCCAAATTTATAACTTCTTATGAGTGCATTTTCTGATCTTGGGGTATGAATATGGATTGTAGTAAATTGCATCCTATTAAAAATGAGCTTTGGATGGGTCATTTCTCATAAAGTATGAGAAAGTTATGCTTGGTCAAAGTTGAGTTGACTTTTCCTACAAAACCCTAATTTAGCAACTTTTGAGTCTTGATGAATTTTGAGCAATCCTTGATGAATCATGATCAAACCTTGATAAAATGATGAAATATCCTTCAAAATGAGAATGTTGACAAAAAATCTTGAGGTTTGACTGTATTTGGGTCACAGTTGACTTTTGCCCTAGCACAGTCGATTTTTGGACCCTTTGAGCAATTGACTGAGCAAACTTCCTCTGCAAGGCTTGAAAGTTGACATGGATGACCTTGAGAACATATTAGGACATTAAGGAGCATTTGAGGTCATTTGGATTCAAGGATCTTGATGCAACACAAAACCCTAATTTGAGGTTGACTGCCTTAGGAGATAGCTTGACTGTCCAACTCTTGAGCAATCTTGAGCAACTTGGAGATTTTTCTTGCAATGTTTTGAGAAATATGAGAGGGCAAATTTTGGGGTACAACAGATAGTGAGTGGAAAATCTTTGGCTAAGCATGTATGAGATGACACTAAGAGGTAATAAAGACCTTGAGACTCACATTGGACGTCAATCGTCTGTCCCGAACTATGATCCTACAAGGTGACATTACTATTAGTGAAGGTGATAATACAATCAGGAGAACGAGTTAAACGACTGACCGAAAATAAATTAAATGGACAATTAGGTATGAAGAGAACAGAAGTAACAGAGAGAGAAGGTAGAGTTTGAACAATGCCAATTCCTTCAGATTGGGTTTGAGAACCATTGGCAGAAGTTATAGTAGGTAAGAAACCAAAAGTAGAGAGAGAAGAGAAATGTTTTTTTACTACTGGTAACATGATTAAATGCACCAAAATCAAGGACCCGAGGTCCAAGAGAAGATGGTTGAGAGAGGCAAGGAGATGATTTACCAGTGTAGGCAACCGAAGCAGTAGAATTTGAGTTATAATAATCCTGATACCACCTGAGAAAATCATCGTAGTTTGGTGTAAAGTTGCGAGGAGTAGCCATGAGAAACTAAAGAGAGAAAATATCACACGAACCGGGTGAAAAAGACTATGTTTGGACTAGATCACAATTTCCCATGAGTGGAAAATAAAATCTGAGACCGAATCTGGAACAGTTGCATGGTGGCGACTGAGGCGGTGGAAAAAATGTCGGGATCAGAGGAGGTGATTTTGCCGGTAAGATTAGTTTTCCAGAAGGTCGCTGAAAAAAAATAGCAATGGTGGCGGACAACGACGACAGTGTGGTGGTGACCAGAAATTTTCGAAAACTGGTGCCGGAATGAGTCACAGCAGTGTATGAAAGGCAAACTGGAGTTATGACATGGTTTGCCAAAAATTCCTCACTGGAAGACAGTGGGTCAACGAGGTAAAGCACGACGAAGGGTTATCTCTCAATAGGCTCTGGATACCATGTTTAAATACGAGAGACTAAAAGACATTTAAATATACTGCGTGTCTGAATAGCACAGCGGAAAATGCATTATATAGGAAAAAAAATACAAATCCTAGTATTAATTACATAGATATTGTATCCTATTCTAGAATACACTAAAGAGTATCGTAAAGAATATTCTAGAGAATATTCTCTTTATATACATATATAATTATCAACAAGGAGAAAAAGAGAATTATATACACACGTGCTCGGGACTAAAGAAAAAGTTGAAGAGATTTATCACGCGCTAGTACCATGAGTCAGTGGATTTGCACCAGAGGAAAATGGATGCGCTTCCCTGAGATGGACCATCTGATAGCAAGCACGTATGAGAGAGTGTGTATTAATCTTACAAGATATGATTTCTCTGAAACTTTTTATCCACTACGCACTGCTCCACCACCAAATCTCAATAATTGTATCATCTGTGTTGGGTGGCTACCAAAAATGCGACATTTTGTTTAAGTGTATTTGAAACAGGGATGCCTTATACTACTTACATCACCATAGTGAGAGAAAAATTATACCTTTCCATATGAGACTTGGTCGAATCAATTTATTCAAAGGATGCAAGAGTACACCAAATTGAACAACATTGAAATAAATAAAAAAAGATAAAAGTCAAATGGGGTATCACCTGTAGATTTGTCGGACGATGATTATTTCGGATCATTTACGTAATTATTTATCATATTATTGTGTGTGACATTTTGTTGATGTATTATGTTGTGGAATGCAAACATTTTATTATTACGTCTCTATGCTGGTTTTTTCTGCTTCTGTTTCTGTTTTTTATACCAGGGAAGTTACCAAAAACGCACCTCCGATTTAACTCAGGGTGGAACCGGAAATGTATTTTCGATATACACCCTGGAAGCAGGTAGGGTTTATGTGGTCCATAATATCCTCCAACTATTATAAATAACCTCATTTCTCATATTGTTTCATACCAAAACACAAAAAACCAGAATGAACATCATTTGGCATGTTGGAAATGTTAAGTTTACCGACAATACACCATCGCGAGAATTTAAGATCACCGAGTACATCCCTCTTGAAGACCTGTAATACACACTGCAGGAGCTTCTACCATATGGTGACAATTGAAAAATTGTGAAGATCGAGTATCACTCGCCATCCATTGACAACAAAGGGAAGCTTCAGTTTATCAACCATGAGCTAAAGACGATTGCTGATTTACGGGCTATATGGAGAACTTTTTTCTGTTTAGAAGCAAAAGTTCTGATTGAGTTGGATGCGACTATTGTGAGATTGGTCGATGATATTATCAAGATGTTGTAACATTCATCTGGATGTTGAAGTGTAATGTATGAATTATATTAAAATTCTTAATGTATTGCTTATGTTTTGATATTAATGTTTGAATTATGGTATTTTGAGTTTGTGAATTTGGCATATTTAAATTCAGTTTTTTTAGTTTATGTGTAGCAAAATACCGGAAATGCAACTGCGATATCCAATAAAAATATAACTCCAAGAATAGTCTATGTTTTATCACATCTTGATGCATTCCGAAAATGTATTTATGATTTCCAAGAACATTTATGTATTTTCGCGTGGTCCGCTAGAAAAGTATAGGGTGGATTAAGAAATCCTCTAAATTATAGCAAGGACACATGGGTAACTATTATGGGTCTCCCATATGGCCCAACAAGACGGGCCCAACACCAACAACCCAATTTTAAATGCTCTCCAAAGGAAGCACAAACATGTATACCTTCCCGCAAATGATCATGCACTAGATCTAGCTCGTTTTCCCATCGTCATTCTTTAGATCCAATCAAATGGTCTCTTGTGTCTCATGTTAGGCCAAGAAGGAGCAATTTTAATCGTGAATCAAATAAAAGCTCTTTCACATGTTGAAACATGTTTTTTTCATTCACTTTTAAAAGTTACTCTTCTCTAAATTCATAAACTTAAAACGTTGTAGTATTAATCTCATACAAGTACTCCTCACTCCACCACATACTCATAGCACATTATACTCTTTGTTCACCTATCATCAATTTTCTATTCAACACCCAAATACATTTATTTCAAATCATCAACAGAATATATTTATTTCTTATCATTATGTTTTATTGTTACAAATTTTTCATCATCTATTCGGCGCATCCTCAATTGGATGAAGATGATATGATCTATATCTTAATCTAGGTATTTGATATTTTAACATCGGAAACATCCAATTGATCCAATGAAGACAAATGTGCCATGAAATACAACAAATCTGATTTAATTTACTTTACCTACATGGCAACATTTTAGCCATGAGTTAGTGTTGAACCGTACATGCCATATTGCATTTGAAACTCCTAACCAACTAGAAAAATTTAATCAGCACTACAAACATAGAAAAACAAAATTTAATGATATTTTGTATCATTCTTTCCAATTTCAATTCTAAATTAACTTATAAAAACATAAATAAACTTGTTGGAAAATGAGATCAACCAAAAACATAATCAATAATTATTAAAAATACTCTCACAAGCCAGAACACAAAGGTATACAAAAAAAAACAATTGTTGATCCTTGTAAAAACACACAAAAGATACATACTATAAAATCTAAAGGTAAAGGCCAATATTAAAGAGATAAGTTTCTTTCCCCTTAGCTTCAACGGTCTCGACTTCATCTTTGTTAGAAACTAACCAATTGTAAGGAAGTTGAATTTTAGGCTCAAACACATTGCCATTGTTGTTTTCTTTTACTTCCAGAACCTGTAAATCAAGATCAATTCTTGGTCTCCATTCTTCGCCTTCTGCGTCTTCATTGGTCATGACACACAAGCCCCATTCCTTAATAACCAAACCTTTGCAGTATCCTTTAAATGTGATTTGTGCTCCTGTTTCTACAAAATGGCAGTGTTCTCTAGAGATAAATATCATCTAAATATAATTTCCACCTTGAACCTGGTTATGTTCCAAATTTATTCGCATATCAAATCATTCTTCTGTGTGTTCACTCTCAAAAGAAAGATAAAAACGACATGGCGATGGCGGCCAAGAAGAAGAAGGAGATTGATGATTATGATTATTTGACTCAAATGTTACACAAAAGAGAAAACCAACCCAATCAACACCAATATATGATCTATCTATTCGTACTATTAAATCCTCTTTAAACTGGTGAAAGAAGTGGGGCAACAACTCTGAAAAAACACCATCTTTATACAAACCATTAGTTTCCACATGCCAAGGAAAAATAATGTCAAATCCACATCGATAATGAAGAGGTTTCTGATAACAAGAACATAAAATACAAATATTAAAGGTCAAAATGAATAGATATGTGATGACACTTTAGCACAAAAACTAACTTCTATTTTCAATTAGAGTTAATTAGAAAGTTTTTACGGTCGTTACTTATCATTCAAGCATTTATATAGTGCAGCATGAACTCAATAACTTGTGGTGGAAGTAACCGCATGAGTATAAATAAAAAAATGTAATAGCTCTACAATCAATGAGAATTCACTTCATAATCATCTTCATTTTGATTTCTTAAAAATTACCACATTAAATAGTAACAAATTTCACCAATGATAAAAAAACTAAACTATATAATAGCTTGAGTGACAAGTAACAAGACAAAATAGAGTACGCACCTTAACGAGTCTTATTACCCATGTAGTGAAGAGCCAATATAGCCAATATATGTATTGGTTCAAGATCAAGGGTTCACCCTCGTAGTAATTGGCAGAGTCAAAAATATATAATCATGATCTATAATTACGAGATTCAGATGTTGTTTTAAAATATCTCCCCGCTTAATCTAATCGACCACTTTCTATTGGTAGCTCGGGAAAACTTTAAAGTCGATGGCAATGAGACAAGTTTAGATATGATAGATTGTGAAAACGACTCAAGGTGGAATGAAGTGTAGTAAACTTATTTCCCTGAAGATTTAGTCTTTCTAAACAACTTAATCCTCCAATAACATAAGACATTGTAGTAATATTGCAAAAGCTCAAGTCTAGATAAACCAAAGATTGGAGAGGAGAAGTCAAAATTTGTCCTAGGGGCAATTTAGTAAACTTAGAACATCCATAAACATCTAAAGTTGTAAGAGATCTAAATATATTAAAGTCGTCTGGCAATCTAAAAAGATTTTTGCACTCTCTCAAACTTAAGTATTTAAGTTTTTCAAGAGCCCCAATGGATTTATGAATCGTGAATAAATTTGAACATTGATCCATATCAAATACTGAAGGAGTAACATTTCACTAAAATTTGGAGTGTGTTTAAGTTTTGTACAATCGGAGAGACGAAGAACTCTCAAAGAGGTCAATCTTGGTGCATTGTCGAAATCAAGACTCACTAGATTGATACATTGTTGCAAACTTAAGAATACAAGTTTTGTAAGAACTCCAATCGACGGATGCACCATCGATAATTTTATGCATCCGGTAAAATCTAGCCGCTCAAGATTTTCATACCTTCAAAGCATGGAGTCGTTATGAGATTTTTGGATTTGTTCAAATCCACACTAAAGATTCTATACAACAACAATTATTTAATATATCTAAAAAGTAAATTTTTCTTATAATAAGAACGACAAAAGTATTTCTTACATCTTAAGAAATATAGATTATACTTTTACATTTTTATACAAATTAAAAAATATTATTAATTTTATATAAGAAAAAAAATTTAATTTTTTTAAAATATATTGCAATGATTAGAGAAATACGAGAGTTTGTGTCCATAGTTGTTGAATGTTGGTATCAGGCATATTGAATTCTACAAGCTTTATATGGATTAAAATTTGGCAAAGAATTGAAAGGGTAACCGTTCCACAAAAGATAACGCATGGAATTAGAAAGAGATAAGGGTCTTTCTGAAAAAGTTGAGTGATATAATATCAACAATTTCAAATTTCCCATTTTTGATAAATATGTACCGCTCATCAACTCATTGAATTTGGAGACTTCCTCTTCCTTTTAATTTATAATTATGACTTCAACTTGTATTGCTACCTGAAAAGTTTATATGAATTAATGAACTCTGGTAAGTAAAATTAACTCCTATATATTTGACTTACGACCACACATGGCATGAAACGGTTGCAAGAGACATTTTTTCAAAGTTGAATAATCTGTTATATAATGGAACTGCATATAATCAATTAAAATGCCATAACAAAAGAAATTACTTGTATATTAATAGATTGTGTGTGAAGCCAAGTTGTTGAAAAAATATATATAAATAAGAGACAATCAGAAAACATTATCATATTTTTTATTGCTCTTATAAAGCCTAGATTACCTCATAGGCCTATAAACATCTACAAACATCTAAAAAACATACACTATTTATAGGCAAAAACATCTACGTAAATAGGGAAAAACACCCCACCCAAAGTTGTCATCTTAAATTGTATGCCACTTCTAACATTAAGTAAGTAGGCAAAAACATAGAGGACCTAATTTTGACCAAAATGAATATGGTATGCTTCATGGGTGTAGCATCTAATACACTTGGGATTCTCATTGCGGATATTGTGGAAGGTTTAAAGGATGTAAGGTCTGCATTCTTCGTGATAGATTGAAATCGTTCCGACTGTATTTTATTTTGCAAAGATTGCATCCATTCCATCAAGCATGTGCCTTCATGGAAGTGAACAAGAACCCTTTATCACTTGAGGTCAATACTTTTTATGCTTTGTTCTATTCCTTTCACCCAGCCCCGCTAGAGTTCTTGTTGAATGTGAATAACGGGAAATGGAAGCTACTAATATCACTAAAGATGACTTTCAGTTACTTTCATTTATTTAAATAATCTCACTAATGGAAGCTAGTAATCTTGCATAGTGGATATTCCTACCATTGAAGGTAGGGTGGTAAAACAAATTAGACTCGTTGAGTTGGTCCACTTGATTTGTTATTTTTGGCAGACTAGGCTGAAGTTTTCGACTCGGTACTTTAAATTGGTCCGTTCCGCTTAATCCGTTTTAAAAATCAAGCAGAGGCGGGGCGGGACGGATTTTGCCCGCAAACTTTTTGTTAAAACTTTTTATTTTTTTATTTAGAATTAAAACAAATTTAACTATTAAAACAACATTTTTCTCTTAGGATTATATTGATTGAATTGTATTATAAATTATTATACAGACAAATTAAACTATAACTATAATATTCTTTCTATAAATTTCTAATACATGCGTTGATTGGAAAGTTTTAAAATAAAAAAAACAATTGTATGACATTCAAAATTATTAAGTTGTCAAACACATTAGCTCAAATGTTTTCTTTAGAAGTAGATGTTGTTTTTAAGAAAATGAAGGATTTGATTAATTTATATATGTGACAAATTTATGATTTAACTAATGATGAATCAATCAATATAAGACTCTATATGATATAAACAATGAGAAACTCCGATGTTGATATTTTATGCATTGTGATGTTTTATGCAGTGTAATTGTTGTCATTGTTGGTTTTGTATAAATTCTAAATGTAATTCTTTTAGTAGTTAGTTTTTAATAAGATTATGATAATATGTATTGTTTATTTATTTTGATACTTTTTTATTGTGCTTGAGTTTATTTTGTTGTAATTGGTCTTTATTTATCTTATTTTTTGAATTGTTTGAACTTAAGACACGTTGAAGTTCTATTATGCGTTGGTAAAAAAAAATTTGTCAACATATTTGATAATAATTAAATTTTTTCTAAATTATGTAGTAAATCAAATTATAAATAAAAAATTGGTGGACTGACTCGTCAATCCATCAGCTCGTTAGTAAACGAGGCAGACTTGACTTTTGAGCTCAGACGTCTAAGTTGACCCGCCCCGTCCCGTCCCACTTTTGGACAGGTTTAAACGGGACGGGCCGCCCGCTTTGCCACCCCTAATTGAAGGTATTTAAGAGAAATTTAGATAGACAATGATATAAATTAGTTGAAGTGTATTTTTGGAATTTGGGAAATCTTTTGAGGTATTTAAAGGAACTTAAAAACACGTTGGGTTGTATGATTTATGAGAGTAGTAGATATTGAGAAATACTTAGGTAAAAAATAGAGTTTGTTTTTAGAAACTTGGAAGACTATTTTATTACAACTCATTTAAAATCTTTTATAACAATTTTTTGAAGTATAATGAATCAGAGGGTTATTTTCTTCTTTTTAATAGCTTTGTTTGATCGAATTGTGTAAACAAACTCTTTTTATTTTTGTCTTTTATCTTGAAATTTTTGTATTCTTGAAATTTTTAGAGACCTTTGGAAGTATCTAGGAGGATTGATAAACACTTATAAATATATTATGTTGTGTGATTTATATAATGAAAGTTTGAGAGATAGAGAAATACTTTGGTAGAAAATATAGTTTGTTCATGAAAACTTAAGAGACTTTTGTTTTAATTCATTTGTAATCTCTTATAACAACTTTTGAAATTATAGTGAATCAAAAAATTATTCTCCCTATAGAATAGATTAATTTGCTCAAATTGGATAAAAAAAATTGTGTACTCATCTTTTATCTTCTATTTCTTTAGCGTGAATTTGCTTACACTATTTATTAAGTTTATTTTTTTAAATCGATTTATTTTGCTTGTCATTGTTGTGAATTCAATGCCAATAACAAAGTATAGAATAAGGGAAGAATAACGAACAAGGAAGAAGAAGAACACAAGAATTGGTTATAACTGCTATTCTTTACTTTCTCTTAGAAAACAAGATTACAAGTTTACAAGGATAACAAATAACCCTCTCACCCTAAATTAGGATTTGCTGTGATACAATGATGAGAGACTAGTATGCTATTTATAATAAAACCTAACATACTAACTAATGGGCTTTTTCCACAAGGCCCATTATACAAGCTAACTTAACAATCAAGCTAACTTAACAAATTAGGGTTTAAACACTAAAACCTAATTTAACAAGCATCCTTCGACAAATACATGCTAGACCCTTCTTCGACTACAGCATGTACTTCGATCATACTAGAGTTCGATCCAAAATCCCACAAATCTCCACCTTGGACCTAACTCTACAGCATCAAGAGACACTAACTAGCTTTCTTCATGCAGCTTTATCAACTGCATACAGTGGAAAAACTTGCAACTTGACAATGTTTTGGTGATCATATCAGCGGCATTGTGATCTGTCGAGACCTTCAGCACTTGGACTTCTCCACGCTCGATTACCCCTCTGACGAAATGCAGCCTCACATCTATGTGCTTGGTTCGCTCATGATAGGCTGAGTTCTTCGACAGGTGTATTGCACTTTGACTATCACATTTAACAGTGATACCTTGACCTTGAAGTTTCAGCTCCTTTGCAAAACCTTCAAGCCACAATGCTTCTTTCACAGCTTCAGTTAGGGCAATATATTCTGCTTCAGTAGTTGATAAGGCAACAACCTTCTGAAGAGTTGCTTTCCAACTAATTGCTGTACCAAACATAGTGAAAACATATCCAGAAATAGATTTTCTGGAATCCATACAGCCTGCATAATCAGAGTCAACATAGCCTTCGACTGCTGCTTTACTATCTTCACCCAAGGCTCCACCATAAATTAAGACTCTGTTCAGAGACCCATTTATGTACCTTAGAATCCACTTTAACGCTTGCCAGTGAGCCTTTCCAGGATTCGCCATGTACCTGCTTACAAGACTTACTGCATATGCTATGTCGGGTCTAGTACAGACCATAGCATACATCAAAGAACCAACTATATTAGCATATGGGATGCTATTCATATAGGTTCTTTCAACATCAGTACTGGGACATTGATCAATACTCAGCTTGAATTGAGGGTTTGTTGGAGTCACAACAGGCTTTGAGTTCGACATACCAAACTTGTCAAGAATCTTTCGTAGGTATGCCTCTTGAGATAAGCATAATTTCGACTGCTTTCTATCTCTTCGAATGTCAATTCCAAGAATCCTAGATGCAGCTCCCAGATCCTTCATGTCAAACTCCTTATTGAGTTCAGCCTTCACCCTCATTACTTCTTCGACATTGTTGCTTGCTATCAGAATATCATCAACGTAAAGCAACAAAATTACAAATGAATTTTCAGGTCGAAATCTGGAGTAAACACAATGGTCGAACTGACTTCTAATGAAACCTATGTGTTCCATGAACTTGTCGAATCTCTTATTCCACTGTCGAGGAGATTGTTTAAGTCCATATAAAGATCTCTTCAGTTTGCACACATAATCTTCTTTCCCCTTTTCGACATACCCTTCAGGTTGCCTCATCAGGATTGTTTCATCTAAGTCACCATACAAGAACGCAGTCTTCACATCCATTTGTTCCAGTTCAAGGTCAAACTGAGCCACCATGGCAAGCAACATTCGGATGGATCTGTGCTTCACAACAGGGGAAAATACATCATTGAAGTCGACACCTTCTTTCTGAGTGAAACCCCTTGCGACTAATCTTGCCTTGTACCTCTTCGACATTACTCCTTCAATTCCTTCCTTAACTTTGAAAGTCCACTTACAGCTGACTAACCTTGCCCCAACAGGTTTCTCGATTAGTTCCCAAGTGTGATTATCATGAAGAGATTTCATCTCATCATGCATGGCCTTTAGCCATTCAGTCTTCATTCGACTCCTTATAGCTTCCTTATAATCTCTAGGTTCTTCGTCTAGAACTTCACTTGCAGAGATTAAGGCATAAGCTACAAGATCTGCATATCCAAGTCTCTGAGGTGGTTTTATGACTCTTCTTTGCCTATCTCTCGACAATAGGTAGTCATCAACAGTTTCCTCAACATCATCAGAATCTTCTGTTTCTTCTTCGACTTCATCTGGGATACGCATTTCAGCATCAACATGCTCCACCTCAACAGGAATCTCTACCTGTTCCAGCTCTTCGTCAACATCATCAGTTTTCTTGAAAACCATTTCAGTTTCATTGAAAACTACATCTCGACTGGTGATACACCTCCTGTGACCTGGCTCTAGGCACCATAGCCTATAAGCTTTCACTCCTTCAGGGTATCCCATAAACATGCATTTCAGAGCTCTAGGTTCGACCTTGTCTTGCCTAATGTGAGCATAGGCTACACAGCCAAATACTCTTAGTTTGTCGAGATCTGGTGGATGTCCCGACCAAACTTCTTCAGGTGTCTTCATATCTAACGCTGTCGAAGGACATCTGTTTATTAGATATGCTGCTGTCGAAACAGCCTCAGCCCAAAACACCTTCTTTAATCCCGCACTAGTCAACATGCATCTAACTCTCTCCAAAATAGTTCGATTAAACCTTTCAGCCAAACCATTTTATTGTGGAGTACCTGCGGTAGTTCTGTGCCTTGCAATACCAGAGGCAACACAAAAACTGTCGAATGCCTCATTGCAAAACTCAAGGCCATTGTCGGTTCTCAACCTCTTTACTTTTCTGCCAGTTTGATTTTCGACAAGAGTCTTCCAACTTTTGAAATTCTCAAAAGTTTCATCCTTAGTCTTCTGGATGAATACCCATAACTTTCTGGAATAGTCATCTACTATGGATAGAAAATACTTTGCTCCTGAATGTGATGGACACCTTGCAGGCCCCCAAAGATCAGCATGGATGTAATCAAGGGATCCATGTGTTCTTTGTTTGCCTTTGTTGAACTTCATTCTACAGGACTTTCCAAGTACACATGGTTCACAAAACTTCAGCTTTTCGACTTTATCTCCACCAAGCAGATTTTGTTTCCCTAATTCGACCAGACCCCTTTCACTGACATGGCCCAATCTCATGTGCCAAATTTCTGTTTTCGACAAAGGTTTCGTGGATGCAACATTTGTCGAACCACTTACAACTTCAGCCTCAAGGGTATACAAGCCTTGTTTCTTCACGCCTCTCAAGACTTCCTTCGACCCTTTCATGACTCTTAGGATACTTTTCTCTCCTTGAAAAACATATCCTTTCTTGTCGAATTCACCAAGAGAAATCAAATTTCTCTTCAAATCAGGTACATACCTGACTTCAGTCAACAATCTTATTGACTCATCATGGAGCTTGAATCTCACAGATCCAACGCCTGCAATCTTGCAAGCTTTGTTGTTTCCCAGCAATACAGATCCACCATCTTGATCACATAATTCCTCGAACAAGTCTTTGTTTGGAGTCATGTGCCAAGTGCATCCAGAATCCATAATCCATTCCTTCGACGAGTTTTTGCTTGAAACCACAAGAACATCAGATGATTCGAAATCATCTTGGACAATAGCTGCGTTGCCATTATCCTTACCTCCATGATCTTTCAGGCGTTCAGGGCACACCTTTCTTGTGTGACCTACTTTCTTACAGTGATAGCATCTAATACCAGATGCATCACCACTATAAGACTTCGACTGATTTTTACCTTTCCTCTTGTCGAATTTTCCTTTAACAGCCAAACCTTCACCAACCGTCGAAGGTTTATGCTCCTTACGTTCGTTCAAGTCCTTAGAGTACAAAGCTGATTGAACTTCTTCAAAGGTCAGGGGCTCTCTTCCATACAAGAGGGTTTCTTTGAAGTGAGCATGTGATCTGGGCAAAGCGCACAATAATAACAGCGCTTGATCTTCATCATCAATCTTTACGTCAATATTTTCAAGATCAAGAATCAGCTTGTTGAACATATCCAACTGCTCAGCCAACACTTTGTCTTCAATCATCTTGAATGAATACAAAGCTTGCTTCAGGTAGAGTCGATTTACCAGAGATTTGGTCATATACAAACTTTCAAGTTTCACCCATAACCCTGATGTCGTCGTCTTCTTTGATACCTGTCGAAGAACCTTATCACCAAGGCTCAACAAAATTGCACTGTGTGCTTTCTCGATCATGGCCGTCTTCTCTCTTTCTGTTAACGCAGCGTCCATCACCGTCGCTCCCTTCAACGCTTCCAAACAACCCTGCTGAACCAGTAGGGCTTTCATCTTCAAGCGCCATAGACCGAAATCATTCACTCCGGTGAACTTTTCAATCTCATATTTTGTTGAAGGCATCTTCTCCACGCTCACCGCACCAATTTGTTGTGAATTCAATGCCAATAACAAAGTATAGAATAAGGGAAAAATAACGAACAAGGAAGAAGAAGAACACAAGAATTGGTTATAACTGCTATTCTTTACTTTCTCTTAGAAAACAAGATTACAAGTTTACAAGGATAACAAATAACCCTCTCACCCTAAATTAGGATTTGCTGTGATACAATGATGAGAGACTAGTATGCTATTTATAATAAAACCTAACATACTAACTAATGGGCTTTTTCCACAAGGCCCATTATACAAGCTAACTTAACAATCAAGCTAACTTAACAAATTAGGGTTTAAACACTAAAACCTAATTTAACAAGCATCCTTCGACAAATACATGCTAGACCCTTCTTCGACTACAGCATGTACTTCGATCATACTAGAGTTCGATCCAAAATCCCACAGTCATTATATTATTTTCTGTCCCACAAATCCGTTGAGAATTTAATTTCTTGTGTTGAAACATGTTGCTCGACAGAAGTAAGATGCTGTCAAAATAGTCTAGTGTGTCGAAGTTGTGTAGTTGTCAAAATATCGAAAAGGTTATCCTTGACAAAGATTTCGATGTAACCTTATTTTGTAATGTTATCATAATTAAGTTATTTCAGTTTATAGACAAAGAGAAACTCTGTATAAATATTCACTAGAGTGAAAAGTGAAGAATAAGAGGCGAATTCAATTAGTGTAATTAAATTTTGTTCATTAAAATTGATTCAGAATTCTCAATAAATTGTAGTGTAATTCCAACAAAATCAATACTTTTTGTTTGATTAATATTAATATTAGATTTCGCAAAGAGAATTGTCGAACTTTTCAATTTTAGATTGAATACTTTAGAATTTGATTGATATGGATAAAACTAATTTTAAAAAATTAATTAATTAATATAAAAAATAGATTTTTTTTGCATTCCTTCGAGTGAATCCTAAATATGTCCCCATTTATAAACCACGTACATTAACTTCTCTTCCACCATTTTTAGTTATATTTAATTCTCACATGTTAAAAACTAACGACAACATATTTCGTTGATGTTACTTTTAGTTGGCACAATTTTTATCCATCTTCTACTTTTATGAATTAGGAAAAAACGATGATGTGTTAACGTAGTTACTTGTCAATGTCCTATATCAAATAGTATGGGAAAAGATAAAAAATTATTATAATTAGTTTAAATTGTTTTCCACAAAACCTATAGTCTTTTTAAATATATATTAGAAAGTTTAATATTTGTGCTACACCTTTTTTTTAAACTATAGTATAAAATGGTGTGGGTTCCACATCTATTTTTTTCCTCAAAACTATAAAAAAATGTGGAGAGAAAGTGTGACTCTACTTTTTTTAATATCTTGCTCTAATAAAAGAAAGTAATAGCAAATAAATATATTTATTTTTAATTAAAATATACTTTTTTTGTAGTAATATAACAATAACAACAATTATTTTAAATAGAAATTAAATTAATATATATATATATATATATATATATATATATATATATATATATATATATATATATATATATATATATATATATTAATTAATTAAAGTTGTTAAGTCTCTTAAAAAAATTTTAGAGTCAAAATTAAAGTCCTTTTAGTAATTATATAAATTTATTTTATTTTATTTCTCTTATATTAATTTAATTTTATTTACTTTTAATTATTTAGTAAATATTTATCTTCTCTTTTACTTAATTTATATATTTTTTATTTATTTATTAATATTCACATTTTCTACTTCATTTACCTTAACTAAGCATATTTATTTTAATTTTTTAATGACATTACTATTACTATTCTTATTAATTTTTTACTTTATGTTTATGTTACGTTAATTATATCATACTAAGTTATAATTTTAAATTTTTTATAAAATTTTTACAATATTTTTAATTAATAAAAATCTCCCACCTATTATATTTAATACTTAATATTTTTTATTTTATACTTTCTTTTATACTTTATTTCATTTGTAATTTTTTTTGAGTTAAAAAATAGTGTAACATCCAATAAAAACTTATCATTAAATTATATTATATAATTTATTTAAAAATTATAGTATAAAATGGCAATTGACATTGTTGTGATTGGTTGAAAAAATTATTTGAAGTGTTTTATATAATATATATATTTTTGAATCAATATTTATTTATATTATTTTTGCTTAGTAGTGAATTTTGTTTATGCATCTTAATTTTTAATATTTAATTGAATTGTTTTATAAAGGATATATTAATATAATTTTAATGTCCATACTCTTATAGTCTTATATAAGATGAACATTATTTTTATTTTTATTTTTATTTACATTTTTTCGTAAATTTTATTAATTTTAATGTTTCCTTTTTCGCTCATTTTATTAATTATATAAGAATATATATGGTTGTTCTTAAACGATATAACATATTTAAATTATACATAATTTTTATATATAAAAAACACATTAAACAAATAAATATAATTTATATTCTTAATTGCTTTAAACTATGATATTTATAAATAAATAATTTCATAAAATATATGTGTATATCTCACAGATAGACTACTAGTATATATCATAAATTAGTACTTTATTTTTTTAAATTTAAGTTACACATTCACTTGAAGTAGCAATTTGGTACAAATACGAACCCTCAACTGTTTCCACTTTAACACTAACCTCACTCTTCCCTCTTCAGTAGGGTTTATCTCTTCCTTTCTCAATTTCAGATTTTATTGAATAATATAATATAATAAATCGGTATTAAAAGGTTACACTCATTTTCAGTTTTTCACATTATTCCCAAACAGAAAAAAAAAATGGATACCTACGTTTTGCAACTAGCCATGGCGGCGCTCGTCGGAGCTTCTACCGTCGCCATCTCCGCTTATTTTCTCCACCGCAAAACACTCCTTCAGCTTCTCGAGTTAGCTCGCGAGGGCAATGATGATGATGATGTTGATCTTGTCTCCGCCGCCGATGATTTGGCTAACCGTGGCGGCGGACGAGTAAGGAGGAAGGTGAATGGATATCTCCGGCGAGACTCTTCGTCGCTGCCGGATGTTACGGTGATGTCTGAAGAGGAGAAGAGAAACGGACAGGTTACGGTCCAAGGGATTCCGGCTGGGTTGCCGCAGCTCCATGCGGTTCATCAAGGTATCAATGAGATAATTTGTAGTGTTAGTTAAGTATCTTATATATTATTGGAATTGATGTTGATATTGTGGATGTAGTATTAAATTGAGTTTATCAAAATTGATTTATGTTTGGATACTCATTTATGTTTAAATTTAAAATGATTTAATACCTTTTGTTAGCAAAACTTTATGCTTAGCACTTAAGCTTGAGGAGGTTAATTTCCTTGCAATGTTTGATCTCAGCTTGCTTTACTGATTAAGAAAAAAATATGCACTCACAGGTACCTCGAAGAGAAAAACAGCGAGGCCAATTTCTCCCAAGTCTCCTGTAGCAAGTGCTAGGGCCTTTGACAGCGTTGAAGAATCAGACGATGATGATGTTGCTGACCATACTAAATTAGATACTACATATCTTCACACCAATGGAGATGTTGTAAGTTGTTGTTGGTATTAAGTTTAGCATCCATATTCATATGATATTCTGTAAATGAAAAATGTTTGCTCGTCAAATGATAAGTTGTGCCATCGTTATTCCTCCTTGCTTCTTCCAACTAGGATTGGAGTCGACCTAGATTTTTCTGTTGCCTTTTGAGCTGCACTTTGATTATTTAGGATGATGTGTTTAGTACCCACTGAAGCAAAATGACAGAATGATTTCTGATAGTGTTTGAAATAACATATGTTCAGGGGCCAGAAGTCAAAAACCAAAACCAGCCTTTAACTGATTCTGTAAATGCTAATGGAGAGCAGATGCCAGTTGCAGTTTCAAGTATGATCCATTCTCACAGTGTTTCTGGTGACCTGCATGGTGTGCAGCCTGACCCTATTGCAGCTGATATTCTAAGAAAAGAGCCGGAGCATGAAACGTTTGCTCGACTTATAATTACTCCTCTTGGTACTAAGTTTTGGTCTTTCTCTTGAATGCAATTATTTACTTTAAACGGGTTTTCTTGTAGCATGTGTAGAGTCCACTTCCTTAATCAACCCTTGCAGCCTATACTAGCACACTTGAATTTAATAATTTATATTTCTTTTTTTTCTTTTTGGTTTAGAGGCTCCATTACCCGATGAAGTGGAAGCCTACATGGTGCTTCAAGAATGCCTTGAAATGAGAAAAAGATATGTCTTTACGGAAGCAGTTGCTCCATGGGAAAAAGAGGTTATATCTGACCCTGGCACTCCAAAACCTAACCCAGAGCCATTCTTTTACACCCCTGAAGGAAAATCAGATGTGAGTATTTTACTTTCTTTTTCTAGCGAATACATGGTTATCCTAAAGTTACACTTTGTGAAGAAATTAATGTTATTTCTGCTGTGATGTAGCACTACTTTAAAATGCAAGATGGGGTTGTTCACGTATATCCAAATATAGATTGTAAGTGTGTTGGGAATTTGTATTTTTTTGTAACTTTTATTTTGTTGTACCATTCCAGCTGGGAATCTTATGCAATTTTTCTTGTTATCTGCAGCAAAACAAGAACTTTTTCCTGTTGCAGATGCAACAACCTTTTTCACTGACCTCCATCATATAAATCGAGTCGCAGCAGCGGGGAACATAAGGACTTTATGCTATCACCGGCTTAATCTTCTGGAACAAGTAATTTCAATTTTCAGTTTCCGATTATGCCTAACAAAGTATAGGATATGCCCATACTTTAATCACAGGCTAGGTCAGCTGGTTTTTGACAATTTTTGTATGTACTCAGCAATTCATTCTTCATTTGATGCTAAATGCGGACAAGGAATTTCTTGCCCAAAAGAGTGCTCCTCATCGAGACTTCTACAATGTTAGGAAAGTTGATACTCATGTCCACCACTCAGCATGCATGAACCAGAAGCATCTATTAAGGTTTATAAAATCTAAGCTGAGGAAAGAACCTGATGAGGTAATCATTTGGATCTGTTTATTGTGGTGTTATCACTTGCTCTGCTGTATATTTTTGTGGAGTTATTATTCCAAATTCATTTTCAAGAAAAACAATTGTTTTGTCATTGTTTGCTCTACTGAGTAAATAAATACAATCAAACTGTAGGTTTGTGTGTTCCATAAAATGGAAATTCAACATTAAATCACAGGTCATCCACTTGTATTCCTCATCACATCATACATGTTTTAATAAGTATTGGATGAAATAATATAGTTCACTGTAATGTGCTTATGAAAATAGAATTATGTTAGTTTATTTGGTTTTGTATTATATAATGAGTCATATTTTGGGAATTTTATTGAAACATTGGAAAGTTCTTGCTTCATTCAGGTCGTAATATTTCGAGATGGGACTTATCTGACCTTGAAAGAAGTTTTTGAGAGTCTGGATTTGACTGGGTTGGTAACAAACATTTCTATAATTTCTACTATATTATAATTCATTATTAAGCTTGGTTGCTAATAAATTTCAACACATTTTTTTTCTCTCTCTCTCTCTCTCAAACAGATACGACCTCAATGTTGATCTTTTGGATGTTCACGCAGACAAGAGTACATTCCATCGCTTTGACAAATTCAATCTTAAGTACAATCCTTGTGGTCAAAGTAGGCTCAGGGAGATATTCTTGAAGCAGGATAATCTCATTCAAGGTATTCCTTCTGTTCACTATTACTTGTCACTTTTGTTGAAAACTGTTTTTACTTGTGTCACTTCCAAATATTAATGTATAGTGGAGTCTCTTTGCTTAGTTGATTTTTCTTTGAAAGCTGTACTTCAAACAAGTTTATTTAAATCACATAAGTATTGTCGTTAACTTCACAAAAAATTTCCGGATCTGAAACGAAGAGTCAAACACTTGACATGTTAATCTAATCTAATAAATATCTACAATGTAATTGATATAGTATTTCCTACCTTGTCTATATGTTATATTTATTGTTAAAGACAGAGAGTTGGATAACTGGTACTTGTAGTGATTAATAACATTAGGTTCTGATGGAAGATAAAACTTACTTTGTTTAACGTGGATGTGTCTCAATTCAATGTTTTGTGGGATTATGTCATAATGTCATTAATTTGTTTTGAAAAAGAAGTACCATGAATTCATAAAATAGATAATTGAAGGTCTTTAACTAATAGACATGTATGGATTATTCTCTAAGGATGGTGAGAGTGGTTGAAAATTGTATTACATTATTGAATTAGGTATAATATTTTAATTTGAAATGGTCAGTCTACCTTTAAAAGCAGAATCAGGTTTGCATTTATTTTTCAAAAGCAACTGTATTAATCAAGTCGACGAAGAAACATAAATTTCACAGAAGCCATTTGGGAGTTTACTGTTACGATTTGTGTTAGTTATCTTCAATTTTAAGGCATCTTTTACCCACATATGTTTATACTTTGTACCAATTAGGTCGTTTCCTTGCCGAGGTGACAAAGCAAGTATTTTCCGATCTTGAAGCCAGTAAATATCAGGTGATTGATACCTTGCATTTTTTTTCTTAAATTAAAATACTTGTAATATAATAATTAATTTTTGTTTGTCATTTTTGCACTTCTTAGCCCAGAGATTAATAATCAACCTGAACTAGTTTGCTGCTATGCTATTTTGTATGTTTATGTGTCAATTTTGCCCTTTCCTTAAGTGTGTCTAAAGTTTTTTTTTAGTCGGTGCTTTTAATGCTTGCGTGACGGTGACGAAGATAGATGATCCACCGAAACATTCTCTTTTAGATACTCTACTTGTTCTCTCATTCCATCACATTATTTAGAAACCACGTTATCTCTCATTCAATCACCATTTTTTGCTTAGAATCTCTCATTGCAATTGAATCGTCTTTTCATTGTTAGAAAGGCTAAAGCAAATGGTGCTTTTGTGTTTACGACTGAACTGGAAAAAGAACTGGAGGTGTCTATTTGCTAGTTTATTGATTTATTGATTTATTTTGATATTAGTTTGTTGATTTTTGATATATTAGTTAGTTTATTCATAAACTAATATAAAAAAAATCAATAAAATCATGAAACTAATATCAAAATAAAAAAATCCATAAACTAATAATAACAAAAAAAAAAGTAACTGATATATCAAAAATCAGGAAAATCAATAGACTAATGTCAAAATAAATAAAAAATAATAAACTAGTTAATATATCGAAATAAAAAAAATCAATAAACTACTCATGTTCAATGTGTGTCCCGAGATGTCTCCCGATATATGTTTGGGAAAATTGAATTGTGGATGATTCTTGATTGCAACCCATTTTCGACCTAGTGGATAGATAACATGATTTCTAAACAATGCGACGATTCAATGGAAATGATAGAGTTTTTAAACAAGAAATGATGACCGAATGAAAAGACCGATAACATTATTTCTAAACAATGCAATGAAATGAGAGAAAACATGGCAGAGTTTCTAAAAGAGAACGCGTCGACCATCTATTATTATAAATAAATAGCAAAAATGAATATCAAATTCTATTGGTTTTTATTAAAAAAATAAAGGAAATAATGACTTATTCTTTATACACCTTTTCCAAACAGTTCACATAGATTCAAATATGAATAGAAGATTTTTATAAAAATATTATCTGCAGTTTCACACATGCATTTTAAAGCTCTGACTAAAAAAAGAAAAACTTAAGATATGCTTAAGGAAAAAGCAAAATTGACGCATAAACCTATACAAAATAGCACAATAACAAACTAGTTATTCCCTTTCGTCGTGCGCTCTAGATGTTTGCTAACTTCTCTGCACACCTATTTGATTCACAGATGGCTGAGTATAGAATATCAATATATGGGAGGAAACAAAGTGAGTGGGATCAACTTGCTAGTTGGATAGTGAATAATGAACTCTACAGCCAGAATGTGGTTTGGCTGATTCAGGTATTCTCCAGTTATTTGCTTGTCAGTGTCACCTTAATATTCATATGCATAAATAATTATTCTTCTAGTACATCCTTTTTACAATGTCGCAATTTCAGCCTCATAAGCTATTCTTTTGATGTTCATGTTAGAAATGCTAAAGACCTAGTACTATTTGGGTACTTCCCATTTCTTGCTTAGTTTGTTTCTTGAGAATATTGTGCAAGTGTTGGTTGTTGATGGTAGTTCTTTTAAAAATTTGTTTTGCAGCTTCCAAGGTTGTACAATGTGTACAAAGAAATGGGAATTGTGACGTCATTCCAGAACATCCTTGACAATATCTTCATTCCACTTTTTGAGGTTACCGTGGATCCTGATTCACACCCTCAGCTACATGTGTTCTTGAAACAGGTGTGATACATTTTAACTACTTTTTATATTGTTGGAACTAGGAGTCTTTTGCTACCTATATTGGACTGTGCTGATGGTAATATTGTATTCTATAACCTACACACTTATTAATCAAAGTAAAGCAGTTTAAATGAATGCAAATATGCACTGCACAAGTGGAATTTTCTGCTAATAATAAATTGGTTTTATACATAATTTTAGCAATCACATTTTATTTATTTTGTATCTTCTTTCTGCAATATAATATCCATTATCTGGTTATTAATGCTGTATTTATATTCACATTTTTAGGTTGTTGGGTTGGATTTGGTTGATGATGAAAGCAAGCCTGAAAGACGGCCAACCAAACACATGCCTACACCTGCTCAATGGACTAACAAATATAATCCAGCATTTTCATATTATGTCTACTACTGTTATGCCAATCTTTACACCTTAAACAAGGTATGTAACTTTTTTCGAAGACAACTATATACTAGTAAGTTAACCACCAAAGAAACCAGCACTGGTTGCTGATAAGAAGAAATTCAAGATGGAATTTATGTTAGTATTAAGAGTGTCACTTTATATTCTATTCATTGCTTGCTTCTTTCCTCAATAAACAATAGAATGCCTTAAATATGCATATCATGGTTTTTCTGCTTCTCACTCTATAACTAAATCTGAGTTTCATGAATTTATTTGATCATAAAATATGACCTAATATAGATGTTTCACAGCTTCGTGAGTCGAAGGGAATGACAACAATTAAATTACGTCCACATTGTGGAGAGGTACTTATTGGTGTATATTTTCTTTGTTTTGATATTTGTTCATTTGTTTTATGGGCAATTGATGTATCACACTCTATTCAGGCTGGCGATATCGATCATCTTGCTGCAACCTTTCTTACTGCTCATAACATTGCGCATGGAATTAATTTGAGAAAATCTCCCGTGCTTCAATATTTGTACTATTTAGCTCAAGTATGGTCCATGTTTCAATAGATTGCAAAATACTGATATATGCATTGACTAATTGGTGGTTGGTATTTATTATCAGATTGGGCTGGCAATGTCTCCCCTCAGCAATAACTCCCTATTCTTAGATTATCATAAGAATCCTTTTCCGAAGTTCTTCTTGAGGGGTTTGAATGTATCACTTTCAACTGATGATCCGCTCCAGATTCACTTAACAAAAGAACCATTGGTTGAAGAATATAGCATAGCTGCTTCTGTAAGTACCAAGATCTCTCTCTAGCATATAAACATACAATATTGACAGTCAGGGCATTTCTTCCTCTGTAGGTGTGGAAATTGAGCTCATGCGATTTATCTGAGATCGCTCGGAATTCAGTTTACCAGTCAGGTTTCTCACATGCCTTAAAGGTAAACTTATCTTGAAATCTAAGCCTTCTATAAAGAAAATTGTCTACTCCTAAGGCCTAACTGTTTTTTTACCACTAAAGATCCCCCCAAAAGCCCCTGGGAAAATGGTTTGTTTATAGTGTTTATATTTTCAAGAATTTAATCTTTGGTGGTAGCAAGTTATCTACTGCTCATACAATGGTCGGGTACTTTCGGAATTTAATGTGAAAATCTGTTATTCAGATATAATAACTGTCACCAATGTACAACCTCTCCTTGGAACTAGTATAAGTTGTGAAGACATGGAACTTATTGGGTAGATGTTAACTTATGTAATTGTAATTGTTAAGAAATGTGTTGGTTGAGCCTAACTCAACCTTACAAAATCGGCTTGTAGGTGAAGATTGTCTCCACTTATAAAGACAAGTTCATGCCATATATTGTCCGCTGTGGGACTCTTTAATATTTCATCAAAAGATGCCTACTAAGTATGGATGACGAGTACAACTTTAGAAAAAATAATAGAAAGTGCCACATGTGAGTGAAGAGCTGTAATATTTCATAACATGATCATTGTGCACTGTTGTCCATTCTAATTCTGGTATTTTTAATTTAGAATTTAGAGACATGCTACTTAGACAAAAAATTGTATTGAATTTTTTCTCCACCCTGTTTATAGAGAATCAAATAAGTTACTAAACAATAATAGCTCATAACTATGAAGTACTTTCCATAAATTTGAAATTTTGTTATAATGATCAAACTAAAATTAGTAAGTCTGAATATGAACCAGGTGACTATTAGATCTAGGATCATGTTTATACTCATTTAGAGTATGAAATAATCTGAACTAATGTAATGCTATAAAAGCTGAATGTAATTTTATTTTATTTTAAAGTATTGTGTCTGTCTTGTACTCAACTGATTATTTTTCTTGTGTTGTTAGTCACACTGGATTGGCAGTGAGTATTACAAGAGAGGGCCAAATGGAAATGACATTCACAAAACAAATGTTCCTCACATCCGATTGGAATTCCGAGACACGGTATGGGATCAATGCATGGTTAAGTTACCGTATATAAATTGTATATGTTGCAAACATGAATTTGAATCCAATTATTTATGCTATATTGTTTTCATGTCGAGTTAAAATTTGCTATATAAACAAATTAAAATTGTTAGCTTGCTTGCTCCAAATTCATCACTTTTTAGAAATTTTCTTTGATTTGTGATAGCTTGAAAGCTTACAATTGTTTCCGTTACATAAAACATCAACAAACACAATTAACCAGAATAACAAATACATTGTAATTGTTTAGTTTACTTAAAAACCATATTTTCTTTACTTTGATGGCTATGCTTGCAGATTTGGAGAGGTGAAATGCGACTGGTTTATTTGGGCAGAGCCAACATTCCTGAAGTAGTAGACAAATAGTATAACATGACGGTGGCATGTTCTTCATCAACACTTGAAAAATCAAGCTGCTGACAGGTTATATCTCCTTGGCTTCTTTTCTTCTTTCATGAGTGTCTGCTTGTGTTGTGGTTTTAGTGTCACCATTTCTCTTTTTCTTCCTTCGTAGATGATTGAGCCTTTTTCCTTGTAGGTTGAAAATGAGTTCCACACACTTACTGAGAATTGACGATGGCGTATGAGAACCCTATTTCATGTTTAGGCTCGGAACACATGTAATACTAAGGTCTAAGGCTGCGGACGTTAAAAGATTTGTTCGAGGATATTCATCACTCAGCTTCAGCATGACTTGCAGAACTACAAATCATCATGGTCCTCCTGGGAGAGATTTAAATTATTAGAATAGCAATAATTGGGTAGGTGCATAAAGCAATGGATACTTGTTGCCATTGAAACTATATAATAATAGTAATGCAAAGAGAGAAATTAGTTTTCTCAAATTTTCATTGGAAGATGAAGAGTCTTCTCAGTTTTGCCATGCAACATACATTATAATGATTGTGAGAGTTATGATGAAATTTTGCGATGATCTAACAATTGAATCATGTAATGAGTCCACTCATAAACGTTGGTATTAGTATATTTTGACATGTTTGAGCAATATAGAGGGAGGATTGAGAAATTATTTTATTTAATTAGTTACTTCCTATCTCATTTTATGTGTCTCATCTGAGTTTTACACAATTCTCAAGAGAATGATTAGTAGTGTTTTTGGCAATGACTCAGTTAAGAAATGAAAGGGGTGATATTTATGCATCTAAGGGTGTAGATTTTGGTATGTGATCGTATTTGAGGCACATGATATTATTATGCAAATATACTACACTTTTGATGAGTGTTGTGTTAGACTATGGTTGAAACATGACAATTGATCATTAGAAAGGGGTCAGTTGTTGATGATGACTTGAAAGTTTTGCCAAAGAAGAAAACAATGAAGATTCAATTCATTTATAGAGAATACTTTGATGATAGTGACTGAAGAATATGCTGGTTGAAATGGATGATGCTTTTGATGTTTTGAATGAAAATCATATTATTCCACTTTATGCCTTTTTAGTGCATCACGCAAAATTTCAAAAAAGTTTCGTTTTATTTTATGACAAATTTTATACCGTGAATGTATTTGTGGAAATTTTTGGAAATGCATGTATGCTCGGACACTATTATTACCGTTTTACTTGAAATGCACCCAGGATGGGTTGTCTACTATCCAACAACAACTCTAAAACATCCTTTTTCACGTTTTGTTCCACACCAGACAAAAGCACTAACGTAGATATGTAATGTGTTAATTAAAAGAAATTAATGCTAATTAAATAAAAGAGAATATTTAAATACAATTCTATAGGTGTGATTCATACTTTTCTCTAATAAAAATATGATAAATATATCAAAATATTTTTTAGGGAATAAAAATAAGAAGAGTTATATATGTGTATGAGAAAATTATATATTTAGATACAATTTTATAGCTGTGATTCATACTTTTCTCTAATCTTTTATGATAAATATATCAAAATATCTTTTAGGGAGTAAAAATAGAAAGAAATTATATAATATATAAAGAAATTATATCATATTTTTATTGGAAAAAAAAGATATAAATCACACCTAAATAAATACACCTAAGTTAAATTCTTTCCTTAAACAAATTTAACTGCATTTAATCTTTTAAATTTCATATAATACGTCAAATTTAATAAAAGCCATTTTTAATATTTTTAGATAAAACTTACTTAACTACTTGCATTAAATATTTTTTAGTAAAAATAAAAATATATTACATCCAATATAGTACTTAATAATTTTAAAATAAGAATATTAGAGTACATGTAATACAACTGCATTCTCTGCCATTACTAAATCAACAATCGATAGAATAAAGTAAGTTAGGATTTCATGTTGTGGACAAGAGTTTAATTTCCTAGACAATCCATCCTAAGTGTATTTCAAGTAAAACAGTAATATAATATGTTTTTGGAAATTTTCGGAAGCGTATTTTTGAAATAAAATTTATCGTAAAATTGAACAAATCTCAAAAGGCGAATGAATTGTATGTGTTTGGAGTGCGTATCGAAAATACATTTTCGATTTTTCAGGAGTATTTTCGGAATTGCATAAAGTGTTTTTCAATCCTATAAGATGAAATAAGAAATCCTCAAATAATAATGACATGGTTCTTGTTAAAGCTGTAATAAACGGACTTAAACGGGCCTTGAGCTTTATAGGCCGAGTCAAAAGTGTTATTATAAGGGGGGTGTTTTTCCACCGTTATGTGTGCATCCCAAGTCACACGAAAATGCAATATTCTGAGTTCTATTTCATTTTGAATAAAATATGGTCATGAGATATATCTCCGTACAATATTTGGGTATTGTTAGCTGGAATTTCGACGACTTATGATATAAAAGAGAAATAAAAGATATCGAAGAAAGACTAATTTTAAAGGAAATATGATAGATATTGTCTTTGAACGATTGGTCAATTGATGGTCAAATATAATTAGATATCAGTGAAGTTTTATTGTTGCGGAATGCATAAGACTCAAGATATTTCAAGTTTCAAATTCAAATAATTTGGCAAGTCACGTTGTGGGTTTTTTGGCGCTTCGAATCAAAGACGAATTTGAATTCAAATGATTTGATCTTATCCAGAAGGACGTGCGGAAGTCTGACAATTCGAAAGGGGCATGCAAGATTCAAACGTGACACTCTTGTAGAAAAAGACCGTTAGGGTCGAATTAGTATAAATATGGATCTTTGTATTATGATTCAGTATGTTCACTTTGTACAAGTTACTCATATAAACTCGAAGTACCAATGTTAGAGAAAATAGTCATTGAGAATGTACGTATAGAAACACCATTTTTAGATTCAAAGTCTTACATTAATTCAAATCTTTTATCTTTGTTTAACAATTTAGTCAAATTCCTTTACATTTCCATTTTTTTACTTCAAAAATCATTTACCTTTGTCTTTAAACTTTTGCTTTTACTTTTATCTTTCTTGTATTTATCTTTTCAACATAGAACAACAATTAGAGACATTAAAACAAACACGATATTCGACACATGTCCTAGGATCAATCTAGTCGATCCTGCGAGTAACCAAAAATTATTTTTATTTTGGAGGACTAACAGTTGTTTACCAAGTTTCACGGTAAGCAAATTGGCACGCCCAGTGAAACCAGTGTCGATCGCGTCACAGTTTTTTGTGTTTTATTTAGTCCTTTTGTTTGACATTATTGTATGAGATTAAGGAGCGGAAAATTAGCCAAAACTAATAAACCTATACCCAAGAGGAAATACAATAGGAAGATGGTTAATCCACCCAGTAACAATGGAGAACAACCACCCCCTTCGACAGGGGAAAACACGACTGTGTTATCTGCAACTGAATCGATACCCGTTCAAGAAAATATAACGGGAACATCGACAAATGCTTTCAGCCATCCAATTCTATCCCTAGTGCGTTCGCAGGGTTCCCCAGCGAACACAAGACCACCAGGGACTAGTGATTTCAGGCATTTTGTACTTGAATTTAAATGCCAATGAATGGTCGCAAACAAATGTATGACATGCCAACATCAATGATGGCAAGTCTAAACAATAACACATCAATATTTCCTGAACCAAGAGAGTCTACATTTTCACCACTACAAGGATCAGAATCACGAGTAAATAATTTGGGTCGAAATGTCCTTCCCCCAGGATTCGTTCCCCAATTACTTAATCTAATAACAAATTCTGCAACAGCGTTTCGACAACAAATGAATGATAGCAATCATGAAATATTGGTGTGTTAGCCCAACAAATGGGTACAATATTTAACCCATTAATCCAAAGTGCTACTTAAACCAACCAACAAAATTCCCAAACAAACCAGCAATTGGCAGCGAATATGGCGTGAATTCCAGACTTCTTTAGTGCCCCTCGAGCCCTAATATAACATCCTCGTCCAGAATGGATGAGAGAAAACCAATGAGTAGTCTTTAAATAAAACCAAACTATTGATCAAGCGCAAGCAGGCGCGCAAAATAGAGGCGAAGTTAACCAGGGGAAAAGATCCGAACAAGCCATACCAAGGGAAATCCCAGCCCAAAGGGTTATGATGGTCAACCGAAACCTGGACACAAATGAAATCCTTCAATGCTCTTGACAAGAAGAATACCCAGGGAAAAACAATCTAGCATCCATGATCGAAAGAATAATGGCTCGAAATGGGGTAAATATAGGCCTTCGAAGATCAAATTACACATCCCCTTTATCGAAATATGTTTTATAAACTAAATTACCCAAGGGTTGGAAGTCTCAAAGTTCACAAAATTCTCTGGTGACACCAGCGAATCCACTGTCGAACACATAACCAGGTATCTTACTGAGGCTGAGGATATAGTGAATAATAAAAATCTAAGGATAAAGCATTTCCCTAGTTTACTGACAAAAAATGCTCTTAGATGGTTCACTACTATCCCATCGAATTCTATCCATGATTGGACTCGTTTAGAGAGGTTATTCCATGAGCAATTTTACATGGGACAATCGAAGATTACTCTCAAAGAATTAGCTAGTATCAAGAGAAAATTCATATAGCCAATTGATGATTATCTAAATAGGTTCCATTTATTGAAGGAAAGATGCTTTACATAGGTGCCTGAACATGAGTTGGTCGAAATGACCGCAGGTGATTTGGACTATTCCATTCGAAAGAAGTTTGATACCCAATATTTGAGGGACATGGCCCAACTAGCAGACCGAGTTTGACAAGTCGAACGTATGAAGTCTAAAAAGGCTAGGGAAAATAAAAATAAATAGGAAAGAAAGGGTAGCTTATGTCGAAGCTGAAGAAGAGGAACAAGAAGTCTATAGCGACCCTATAGGTTTCAAAGAAAGTGAAGTGGACTTGGATGAATTAAAACAAGCTCCACCCTATTCCTGTAAAGTCTCAGCCCCTTCGAATGGG